CACTGACTGTCAGGGCCTTCCTCTTTGCACTATCTCTCATGCCTAATATTTGAAATTTTCTTAAATGTTTAGAAAATATTTATCTCCAAACTTTCATCTGTACATTTTGCACACATGACTAGACAGCAGGTTTGCTGGGTCTCTGCCTGTGGTATGGGAAGCAAGAGAGATTGATCTAACCCAGGGGGGTTTGATCTGATTACAGTGTTTCTGACGAACCGCTTTGCACATGCTACAGGGACTCCAACCATGAAGGGGAACACCGCGGCAGCCGTGGGCAGATACAATATAAGTGGGTCCAGCCGGCACCATCACGGGGCAGGGAGCAACATCATGAAGCGGAGCAGCCTCTTGCCACTCGTCCTGATCTTCCTGGTTCTCCACCTGCGTGTGGCAGAGCCTTTCACAGAGAGGTGTGAGCAGAAGTGCTGGCCTGCGGGGGGGTCTTGTGCAATTGGCTAAGGGCAGAGGAGCACTTTTCAAGGATTCTGTGTGATGAGCTGGCCCTGAGGATGGGCAGGTGGTTAGTGTTACCATGCTCCGGGTTCACCCATCTTCCATCCCCCAGTCTCCTTTTCAGGCCTCAAGAAGCCAGGACAATGCCCGATTTCCTATATATATTGCTCAGACGAACCGTTGTTTGCATGCTACAGGGATTCCAACTGTGAAGGGGAACAGAAATGCTGTTTGTACAACTGTTTAAATCAGTGCATGATTCCCTTGAAGAGCAGAAGTGAGTCGTGTCGCCCCGTAATCAGGCCCCCTCCTTGGCCCCAAAGCCCCCTCAGCCTCTCAGAGCTGGCTAAACACAGCCAGTGCCCTGCAGGAGTGCCCGGGTCAGAGCTGGGCATTGATTCAGCCCTGACAGTGGCCTGAGGCACCTACAGAGGGGTCACCAGTGTCACCCTCACCCTTGACCGCAACGCTTACAATCACTCCGGGACACGGGTCGCTCCCTGCCTTGAAGGGGTTGGTTGGACAAGACCGCGTCTAGATGTTCAAGCATTAGTAAATGTTTTTAGGTTGCCTCTCTTTCCCTTTGAGCATATCATAATGAATAAATTCCTCTCCGTTGACAAACTGTGAGGTAAGGATTTTATGATTTAAATCTCTAGGCTAGCTGGCCTAAAATAAGGTATCCAGAAATTTCGATTCCTTGGCAGATTGTCTCAGTGTTCTTGGGAGAGGGGCACTTGGCTGGGAGTCCTGGGACCTGGCCCATGTCTCCCGCTTGGGTGCTCCTTCTCATGCCCCACTGTCTCTTCTCTCCTCTTGCAGGGAGACGCCGATTCATCCAGTTGGCCTGAGAAGATGTTGTTCCTGCAAGCTCAGGCCTGCGTGCTGGGTCTCCAGTTCTCTGGGCTCCTCACGTAGAGACACCCTGTGACTCAGCTAAAGGCTACTCAGTAGGAAACTCAATAAAGAAGCAAAGTGCTCTGTGCCAGCACCGTGGGGGTCTGTGATGCCTGTGTGTCTGTTGCCCTCCTCTACTTCTGCATTCATGGGGCGAGGGGATCATTTGGATGTGTGAAAGGGTTTTATCTCTAGAGCTCATGCTCCTGGGTTGGGGGTGCACAAGATTCAAGTGATCTCCTCTCACTGCTGTCAGTCGTGACACTGATTATTTCACCAGCCAGTAGAATTTGGAGAGAATGGGGACCTTTCTCCTCTCCAACAAATACTTCCTTGTAGGTTTTTGGTTTTGGTTTGTTTTTTTGTTTTGTTTTGTTTTGTTTTTCACTTTTTTGGGTCACGCCCGTGATGCACAGGGATTACTCCTGTGGTGCTCAGGGACTATATGGGATACTGGGACTTGAACCTGGGTCCGCCATGTGCAAGGCAAACGCCATACCCGCTGTACTATCGCTCCAACCCCCATTATAGGTGTTTTAATGTTCCCAAATCACTGTCTTACCGGGATTCTGTGCATAGTGAGTCTTCCTAGAGAAGGAATAGCAACCTGAGTGACTAGCATATATACATACATATTTTTTATTTTGAAAACACCGTTTTTTTTTAAATTTCAGCATAGCCAGTAAAACCTCTCTGCCTCCTCTTCAAGATCCCAGTACTCAAAGGAGAACCTGGAACAGAGTCAGTGTCTGCTCTTCAACATGTGGAGAGGGTAAGAAATGACCTGTTCTCACCAGCCCCAAACACGCAGATGGAGAGAATGATAAATCAGAACAAAGGGAGGAAATCAAAGTTGTAATCCAGAGACAATAATGATCTATCTTACAACTTTCTGTCCAGTAACCAATATACAGACTCACCCAAACTGATGGACTTGGGAGATTCAGGACACATAGTTTGGGGGTTCAGTGAAATCTGATAGCCATTCATCAGATTAATACATTTTTGTTTACAAATGAACAAGAGGAGATTCACTGGGACTCACTTTATTTATTTTTTTATTAGTGACACACCATGAGGTTCAGTTGTAGACTTACAAATTGTTGTGCTTGGGTTTCCGTTGTACAATGATCGAATACCCATCCCTCCACCAATGTCCATTCTCCACTACCACTAATCCCAGTATCCCTCCCACCCCCTCATCCCCCCATCCCACCCTGCCTCTGTGGCAGGGCACTCCCTTTTGTTCTCTCTCTCCTTTTGGGTGCTGTCGTTTGCAAAAGAGGCATTGAGTGGCAATCATGTTTGGTCTAGAGTCTACTTTCAGCATGCTTCGCTCATCCTGGGGGGATCCTCCCAACACCCCCCATTTGGTGCTCCCTTCTACATCTTGGCTGCCTTTACCCCTAGAGTGTGAAGCTGGCCTCCAAGCCATGGAGTAAACCTCCTGGTATTTATCTCAGCTATTTTTGGGTGTTAGTCTCCTATTTTTGTTACTTTATGTTCCCCAGATGAATGCAATCTTTCTATGTCTATCCCTCTCTTTCTGACTCATTTCACTTAGCATGATACTTTCCATGTAGTAGCACTTTTATGTAAATTTCATGACTTCATCCTTTCTGACAGCTATGTAGTATTCCATTGTGTAGATGTACCAAAGTTTCTTTAACCAGCCATCTGTTCTCAGGCACTCACGTTTTTTCCATATTCTAGCTATTGTAAACAGTGCTCCAATGAACAGACAACTGCAGATGTCGATTCGACTATACTTTTTTTGCCTCTCTGGGGTATATTCCCAGGAGTGGTATTGCTGGGTCAAATGGAAGCTCAATTTCTAGTTTTTTGAGAATCGTCCATACTGTTTTCCAAAAGGGCTGAACCAGTCGGCATTCCCACCAGCAGTGAAGGAGGGTCTCTTTCTCGCCACATCCACGCCAACACCTGTTGCTTCTGTTCTTTTGGATGTGGGCCAGTCTCTGTGGTGTGAAATGATATCTCGTTGTTGTTTTGATCTGCATCTCCCTAATGATTAATGATGTTCAGCATTTTCTCACGTGCCTTTTAGCCATTCGGATTTCATCTTTGAGGAAATTTCTGTTCATTTCGTCGCCCCATTTTCTGATGGGGTGAGACTCACTTTAAAATACTATTATTTGAAATTGGGGTTTAACAGAGTGTCCTGTGCTTCAGCTGCCTTTTAGAACAGTCTCTGGATGTCTCTGCTGGAGTGTTAGGTGCAGAGGTTCTGGGGAACGGGGGAGTGGCAGGAGATACCAGGAACCCTCCAGATGCTTCTGCCTGGCAGTGAGTCATCCAAGAGATGACCACAGCTGCCTACCATCATGCCCCTAGTTGCCTAGCGTTTTACATCGGTCCAATTTTCTTTTCATTTTATTTTTTGGGGGGAGGGGGGCACACCTGATAGTGCTCAGGGCTTACTCCCAGGTCTGTGTTCAGGAATCACTCCTGGAAGTCTATGGATACTATCACGGATGCTGTGGATAGAACTCAAGTCTGCTGTGTGCAAGGCAAATGCCCAACCTGCAGTACCATCCCTCTGATTTGGTCCATTTCTAGTATTGTTATTGTTTCATAATCTTGTAATTGTTACCTCTGCTAGTTGCTGAAAGTGTACTGGGGCTAGAAGTAAATAAAGCAAACACAGAAGTCCCTATTAAATCCTGGCTGCTTTTCTCCTTTCTCCCAAAACCCCAAATTCAGCAGAGAGAGTAAATAAATGATGAATTTAAAAAAATTTTTTTCACAATCTACAAGTCAGCTCTGGGCTAGAAAAATAGCACAGTGGTAGGGTGTCTGCCTTGCATGCAGCTAGCCTGGCCGAGCCGGGTTCGATTCCTCCACCCCTCTCTGAAAGCCCGGCAAGCTACCGAGAGTATCTCACCTGCACGACAAAGCCTGGCAAGCTACCTGTGACGTATTTGATATGCCAGACACAGTAACAACAAGTCTCACAATGGAGACGTTACTGGGCCCGCTTGAGCAAAATCGATGAATGGGAGGACAGTGACAGTGACAAGTCAACTCCATTTACTTGAATAAATTGAAACAAACTATGATATGACTTCAGAAAAGAATTATGATATAATTCTTTTTGCTCAAAATTAAGAACCCACCAGCTGGGAACATTTCCTGCTGGAATGGGACTTCCTCTTCCTTGGGGTAAACTGGCAGTACTCAGCCATCTCTCAGTGTCTTCTTGGAGGTGATGATGATGGTGGGAGCTGGGTGACTTGCATGGAGGGGGCTGAGTAAGAGGCTGAGTCACAAGGAACCGTGGATTCCCGTGTCAGGGCTGACAGATCCAGGCCAGGTCTGGTGGTCGATGGGGGGGAAGGTCACTGGCTGCTATTTCAGACACAAGCCTCCCCGCTCCGACCTTTCCCAGGCCTACTTTGGCTTTCCCTGTCCTGGTGAAGTGGATTCTGCCATCGGGGTTGATTCCTGGAGTCTGATGTGAAGCCCCAACCTGGGAGCCCGGGCCCAGCCCTTGTGTTCCTCAGGGGACCAAAGTGAGCTCTCAGAGACCCCCGCATCCCTGCCCTTCTCTGCAGAGACTCAGTCCAGCCTCACTCCCATCCCTTGGAAGTACTCCAGGAAGCAGACTCAAGGAGACACAGAAGCACATGGAGCAGACCCGGGTTTTTATTGGAAGCTGTTGAGAGAGGCCGGCCAAAGGGAGGGAGAGGGGGACATCCGGAAAGAGATGGGGAGGCTGGTACCCAGGGACCAGGGGCTCATCTGGGAATCTGAGGAGGTGTGACGAACACAGGTCTACCTGCAGGAGAACAGATAACCAGAGACATGAGATGGCAGGTGAGAGCAGGGGAGGGGGACCAAGCTCCCATTAGTCCTCGGGGCCCCCTCTCTGCTCCTCCCCCCTCCGTCTGCTGTCTTCTGCCGCCTGGGATTGTTCCCCACCCAGCGTCTCTGAGCCCCGGGATCACTTCCTGCCCTCCCCAGCTCCGGCCTCACCTTGGATCCATACAGACTTTCCCGCACGCTCCCTCGCAGCACTTCATGGCTCCTGAGCACTCAGCATCACTCTCGCACTGGTTGGGTGGGTTGAACATGGCGCAGCGGATCATCACCTCGGGGCAAGAGCCGGGCTTAGTGGAGACAGATGGGTTCTGCCCTTTGACTGGATCTTGACCTTTGATGGGATCTTGACCTTTGATGGGATCTTGACCTTTGATGGGATCTTGATCTTGGGCTGAATAATGTCCTTGGAATGGACCACGGCCTCTCGCTGGAACACGACCTTTAAGAAATAAAACTGGGGCTGGAGCGATAGCACAGCGGGTAGGGCGTTTGCCTTGCATGCGGCCAACCCGGGTTCGATTTCCAGCATCCCATAGGGTCCCCTGAGCACCGCCAGGAGTAACTCCTGAGTGCAGAGCCAGGAGGAACCCCTGCAAAACGCTGGGTGTGACCCAAAAAGCAAAATAAATAAATAAATAAATAAATAATAAAACTCTTCATGGGGAACATGCGCCCTCATTTAGACCCAACACCCTTGTTTCCAATGCCTCTTCTTCCCTGTATGTCTGGCTGCGACTTACTTTAGCATCCCCTAACTGTGGCCGGGGTGGGGGTGCGAGTTGAACTAGCTGGGTTCTGGGATCTTAGGAAGCTGTACCCCTGCATCTGGAGAAACGACTTCCTTGGATCACCACCTCCCCCTTCCTCAGTTCCCAGGGGCAGTGGTCTCAGGAAGGAGGGGCAGGCAGGAGGGACCCCAGAGGGGACAAGGGACTTGGTTGGGCAGAAAAGGGCCCTGAGCTGAGGGTGGAGACAGGAGCCCCCAGCTCGCCCACATGCTGCCCGCCCACTGCCCCCTGGCTCTCTGACCCCGGGGTCTCCTCCTCAGGCATCTTCAGGCAGTGGGATTTCAGGTTCTTGGGTCCCATTGGTTCCTCACCCCCCTCTCGGGAACTTTATGGGGGAAATAGGCAGGAAACGGACCCCACGGCCAGAGCCCTGGTCCCTTCTTTCACACTGGAAGTGCAGGCTCCAGATCTGTCAGGGCCCATGTTGCCTGCACAGTGCAGCCCATCTCCAGCCGCACTCAGACCCCTGCCTACTCACCTCCTGTGACAGTGGCCTGGACAGCCAGTGTCCCCAGGATGAGGAGCACCGCCAAGACGCAGAGGCTGCTGGTCCTCATGGTGTCAGATGGGAGTGTGGGAAGAGCTGCAGCTGGCCTGGCCTTATACAGCCGGGCTGGGCTGGGCTCCTGGGGTGGGGCTCTGCAAAGCACAGGCATTTCACACGCTTCCGTCATTCTACCTGGAATACCCGCCCCTGGGCTGGACGCAACTTGGGACTTTCCTCAGTTCCCTTGGCAGGGACAAGTGCCAGCAATGTTACGTCACCTCTGATTGGCCAGGAGCCGCCTCACTTTCTCACAGAGATGCAGGGCTGACTGGCCCCCAATCCCGACCTGATCCTGCACATCTGCAAGGAGATAAGGTCACTCAGCAAGTTAGCGAGCCACCCAGTAGGTCCAGGATTCTGGTTTCCACACCTCTGTGTTCCCACATACTTCCTGTTCTGACAAGTCCCACCTAGACCTGCTCAAGCCTCTCATCACCCCAGCTTTTCCCTGGACCCCAACAAAATCTCTCAAAGGCTGGGGCTGGAGCAATAGCACAGCAGGGAAGGCGTCTGCCTTGCACACGGTCAACCCAGATTCAATTCCCAGCATCCCATATGGTCCCCTGAGCACCGCCAGGGTAATTCCTGAGTGCAGAGCCAGGAGTAACCCCTGTGCATCGCCGGGTGTGACCCAAAAAGAAAAAAAAAGAAAACTCTCAAAGGCAATACTGCCTTCCAAGTTTAATGGTTAGGGCTGGAAGCACAGCTCAGGGGCCGAGCATGTTTCATATTCAGGAAGCCCAGAGTAGACTCTGACCACTCTATGGTCTTGCCAGCACTGCAGGGGGTGACCCTTGAGCCCAGAACATGGAGAAGCCTATGAGCTCTGATAGATGTGCTCCCCCACCCCTAAAACAAAAAAAGTTGATGGCTTGAGAAGCAACTCAAAGGGCTGGATCACATGCCTTGGAGTCCTGGGTTCAATCCCTGGCACACCTGAGCCAGCCCCAAGCCCCACAGCCAGGGCCCAGATATCTGGGATTCCTCACATCAAGCTGGTGTTTGTTCAAAACACAAAACACGTTTCATTATTGAGATTGTGAATATGGCTCGGAGCAATGGAGCAGAAGGCCCTGAGTCTGATCACTGCCACTACACTACATCTTTCCTGCCACAGTCCCAAACGCCACTGGGAGAAGGCCTGGTGTCCCCCCCTGAGCAATGACTGAGTGGCCCTGATGGCCCCCACTACCACAGGCTCCTGAGCACTGCAGTGCCAGCTCACACGACCAGGTCAAGTATTACTGGAAGAAGCCCCTAGCAGGCCCCACACCATTTACCATATCACTTGCTGGGTGTGGCCCCTATTTATTTTATTTTTTATTATAACACAGTGATTTACCAAGTTGTTCATGATACAGTTGTTTCAGCTATTCAATGTTCCAACAGCAAACCCACTACCAGTGTGAACTTCCCTCCATCAATGTCTCCAGTTTTCCACCCACCACCCAAGGCTTTTGGCAGGTATATTTACTTCATATTGCTTATTAGAACACAAAGGCAAATGGAATTATCCAAAAAGAGATCAATAAGTCAATTCTGATCATTGTTATGTCTCACAAAGGTGTTACTAAGTCGTTGATTGAAGATTTACTGAGCTGGTTGGTGCTAGTTGAACCTTCTGTGTTATTGTTTGCACTCGTTGAGCTTGGTGGGATTCTAGGCAACTTTCCCATCAAATTTGCTGTGGTCCTATTGGTGGCCCCTATTTTTTAAACCTATTTTCAAAATGGTTTGCTCTTTGCCACATCCTAGTAGTCTCTGGAAGGAGGTATTGAGCTTGAAGTACCAATGAGCAGAGTGAAAATGTCAGGAGAGGCTCACAGAAATTCTGACCGTGATGGCCATCCTGGGTGAAGGGAGTGTGTGTGTGTGTGTGTGTGTATGTGTCTGTGTGTGCGTGTGTGTGCCTGTTTGTGTGTGCATGTCTGTATGTATGCCTGTCTGTGTGTGCGTGTGTGTGTGCCTATCTGTGTGTGCCTTGGTGTGTATGTGTGTGTATACCTGTCTGTATGTGTGCATGCGAGTATGCCTGTCTGTGTGTGCATGTGTGTGTGTGCCTGTCTGTGTGTGTGCATTGGTGTGTATGCCTATCTGTGTGTGTGCATGTGTGTATGCCTGTGTCTGTGTGTGCATGTGTGTCCCTGTGTGTGTACGCGTGTGTCTGCCTGTGTCTGTGTGTGCATGTGTGTATGCCTGTCTCTGTGTGTGCGTGTGTGTCCCTGTGTGTGTATACCTGTCTGTATGTGTGCATGTGAGTATGCCTGTCTGTGTGTGCATGTGTGTGTGTGCCTGTCTGTGTGTGTGCATGTGTGTGTATGCCTATCTGTGTGTGTGTGCATGTGTGTATGCCTGTCTTCGTGTGTGCGTGTGTGTCCCTGTGTATGTGCATGTGTGTATGCCTGTCTCTGTGTGTGCATGTGTGTGTGTATGCCTGTGTCTGTGTGTGTGTGTGTGTGTTGAGGCTATTGAATTCTTTATTTGAACAAATGCTAAGGGCAACCGGTCCTGTTGATAACAATGAAAACCAGGAGCTCTGAGTCCAGGCTGGGAGGAGCTCAGTTGTACGAGAGAAAGGAAATGGAGCGCAGAAGACCCAGAGGGAAGATGGCAGGAGCATTGGGGCCCACGCCCTTCATTCCCCTTGGCTCAGTCATTCCTTCCCACTCCTGCTCCATAGCCGGGTTACACGCCATAAATTCACCTCCTGCTTCAGCGAACTGGAGTGCTATTTTGTCACTGCTAACAAAAGTTTTGAGTAATAGAAATTAATACCGCAAGCTGGGCGTTGCCAGGCACAGAACCTATACTTTAAAGTGACTGAATTGAGGGCGGGTTGAGAGAAGTAAGAAAGCAAACTAATTATGAGATATTAAAACCAGTTGGCAAATCCCTGTACTTTGTCTCTTTGGGATTAATATCACATGCCAGAGTGCCTGAAAGATAAGGAGGTCATGTAAGCAAACAGAAATTTACAGTCTTGTTGCTTATCCTAATTCTTTCCTCTCCCTCCCTCCTTCCCACTTTCCTGAGTTGTCTTAATTAGCCTATTCAAGTATCTTTTCAAATTTTAATTGTGTTGGTCGTCTTTTTCTTACTAATTTTTTAAGAAAAGAAACTCTGGAGCCAGAAAAATAGTAGAGTGGGTAAGTCACTTGGCTCGCATATGGCTGACCTGAGTCTGCGTTCAATCCCCAGCACTAATTATGGTCCCTGATGTTCCACCAGAAGTGATCACCTCAGAGCAGAGCCAGGAACAAGAAAGAAAGACACATGACAAAGAAAAACAACCAATATTGACAAGGATTCAGGGGGAAAGGAGACACATTCACTGCTGCTGGGAACGCCAAATGGCCTGACCTGAACTTCTGTGTTCATTGCAGCACTATTCACAATAGCAAAAATCAAGATTGCATTCATCTGGGGAACATAAAGCAACAAAATGGGAGACTGACACCCAGGAGTGGCTGAGAATAGTACCAGGAATTTTGCTCCATGACTTGGAGGCCAGCCACACGTGCTAGGGGAAAAGGAAGCTCAGATAGAGAAGAGAGCACCAAATAAAGGGTATTGTGAGGATCCTCCCAGGGTGGGAGAAGCATGCTGAAAGTAGACTATAGACCAAACATGACTGCCACTCAATGCCTCTCTTGCAAAACACAGGACCCAAAAGAAGAGAGAGAGAACAAGGGGGAATGCCCTGCCACAGAGGCAGGGTGGGATGGGAGGGAAGGGAGGTGGGAGGGATATCTGGGACCCGTGGTGGTGGAGGATGGGCACTGGTGGAGGGATGGGTACTTGATCATTGTATAACTGAAACCCAAGCACAAAAATTTGTAAGTCTATAACTGTACCTCATGGTGTTTCACTAATAAAATAAGGTAAAGGTAAAGGCCCTCCCGTTGATCGTCGATTTGCTCGAGTGGGCCCAGTAATGTCTCCATTGGAGACTTTGTTGTTACTGTGTCTGGCATATCGAATACTCTCGGTAGCTTGCCGGGCTCTCCGAGAGGGGCGGAGGAATCGAACTCGGGTCGGCCATGTTGGCCACTTGTAAGGCTAACGCCCTACCCGCTGTGCTATCACTCCCTACCCATGATAAATGATAAATAAATAAATAAAAATCTGGAAACAACCCGAATGTCCAAGAGCTTGGATAAAGAAACTATGGTACATCTACACAGTGGAACTATACTCAGTCATAAGAAAAAGATGAAGTCGTGTAATTTGCTGCTGCGTGGATGGATCTAGATAGTATTATGTTGAGTAAAATTATTCAGTGGGAGAGAAACAAACTCAGAATGATCTCTCATATGTGGGGTACAAAGAAACTTCCTAGGAGGAATATCAAATGCCCAAAGGCAACAGAAATGAAGAGAAGGAGAATTGGTCTTCAGTAGGAAGCTTGCCACTGGGCCTAGGGTGGGAGTGGGGGAATAAATTAGGAAAGGGCAGAGTAGGACAATCTCAGAGGGGAAATATACCTGCCCCAGAGGTACAGGCTGGGAGGAATGAGGGAAATTAAGGACATTGGTGGAGGGCAGTGGACACTGGTGAAGGGATTGGTGTTGGAACATTTTACACCTCCTATTCAAACACAAATATCTTTGTAACTTTGTAATTCATGATGATTCAGTGAAATATATGGAGGAAGGGAGGAAGGAAGGAAGGAAGGAAGGAAGGAAGGAAGGAAGGAAGGAAGGAAAGAAGGAAGGAATTCTGGTGCTTATGAGAGTCTGATAGGTAAAGGCAAAGGTAAAGGCCCTCCCGTTGATCGTCGATTTGCTCGAGCGGGCCCAGTAACGTCTCCATTGGAGACTTTGTTGTCTGATAGTCTATGTTAATACAATCTGTTGAATATAGATTAGTATTGCTAGCAAAATTGAATCTGTGCAGTGTTTCATCCAGCAGTTATACTTCTAATTGCATACTTAAGATAAATATTCCTACATGTTTATCAGGAAACATACGCAAAAATATTTATAGCAGTACTGTTTTTAATACTAGCAAGG